TGACAAAATATGTATGAAAAATGTTTCAATGATGTTATTGGTGCAGTGCCCAAACATCTATACAGCCAGGAGATATTCCTGTTGGTTCTGCATGTAAATGGTTGTTGATTCATTAAGGATGTGTGATTATTTAGATCCTGACTACACAGTTTAAAATATAGGCGTGGAAAACATTAACAATTACCGGTTTTGTGTTTTCCAACTGTGTTTCATGGTGACATGCTGAAGGCAATGAAGCATTCTAACACACAACCCGCGGAAAATGTTTTTGCACGTCTACATTTTAAACAGTTTGTGATGTGCCAAACAGTCCGGTTGGAGTTCCAGTTAAGTTTTGCATGCAGTCTGGTGTTTTTTTAATCATGGATGAGTAGGTTTTCTCAGTATTGCTGTTGTTTGGCACACACATCTGCAATTACTCAACCACGGAAAAATACGGCAATAATGGGGAAATGTGGGCATGATAAGCAAATTCTAGTGAATGGAGTGATGTTTTCAGGTGAATAACATTGTGATTCAATAGATGCCATCAGACAGTGCTTCTCAAGATCACTTTAGGAGCATGTAGAGCACTAGGAAACTATCTGCTCTTCCTTAGAGTTGTATTAAACATCACAATGCTTGTTATAAAGAACCTGTGATTGTTGCTGTTGTTGGTCGCGCTTTTTGAGATGTAGACATGTTTCCTGATCTTTATTCATATATGCAGCAGGCGACCTGAGAGGTGTAGTTAATAGATGAATGTTGGTTGAAGCAGAAAGGGAGGAGTTTGCAGGAAGTGCCTGTCATTGCTGTTGGAGACACACCTGCTGCTTTACTGCTGGAATGTACTGTTTTCCTCCTAAACTGCTGTCTGTTGTTACACTATAAATACATGTGTTATAACTCTACAAATGAAGACATATTTTAAAAAGGGAAATCAAAGCGATTTATACAAAAGATTGTTTTTCCTCTCCCGAATTACACCTTTGTTAACATTCCTCTCTGTGTTCTATTTTTTAATTCAATAATAATACATTTGATATGTTCATATAATCTAAACAAAAAATAATTCAAGCAGATTTATTATCCATAAAATTAAGAAACGAGCTCATTTGAATTTTAAGCATAAAATGTTTCATTTCATTCATGTGGTTTTATCACAAATAATTAAATCTCTGAATTAATTTCAGGAAATAAGTCAGTTCTTCAACCATTGAACAGTAATCTTTTATACTTAGAGTGTTTACCTCTATACAAATTATCCCAATAATTATCCTTAAAATTAATTATGTAAAAAATGTGGATGAAATATATAAACAGTTTGAACATGACTTTTTTAAATAATTCATAAATAATTCAAAAATAGACACAGGTGGAATTTCACATAAATCCACCAAAGTCACTTTGTCAGATCAGATTTGTTTAATATTTATTTTTCTTTCAAAGCTCAGAAGAAACATGATGAACAGTTGGGTCATGTCAAATAATAAGAACATACTTGTAATGCTTTTATTTAATTTCATTTAATTTCATTGTATGTAAAGGTACATTTCCTGCTTGCTTGCTGACCTGCTGATGCAGGTGTGTTTTTTTTAGATTGTGTTGGAGGTATTTTATTTACACATACCTCAACAGATCTTATCTATTTAAACTAGTTAGGCTATATGAAAACCCTTTTTAAAACAAATAATGATCTTGATATATATTATTGTATACTTTAACTTTAAGGTTGATGGACATGTAGCCTATTTATAAAACAAGATAACTTGTTTTACATGATCACATTTATTTTACAAAGAGATTTAACATTTAGTGTGTACATTAATTACTTAAAAATGCATTATTTGTGCATTGTTTTTTTCTAATAAAAAAGAATGTAAAATAATTGTTTACATTGCCTAAACAGGCTGTAAAGGGCTTGACAAATCCGTAGAAAATAGACCTTTCACATGCTATTTAAAAGGCATGCTGTTCAGGTTGTCACGGTGTGTGTTTAGCTAACAAACAAACAAACACAATGAGACCTGCTGATGTCATCTCACTGCTCTTCCTCCTCTGATAGGAGCCTGCCAAATTCCCCTGCGACACCTTTCTCGAGTCATGCGGGACGTTTTCTTAGCGTCATAATTCCCATTTTGATGTCGGTAAAATAATAAGAAAAAGAGTCAGTCACCCCGTCAGACACCCCGGGGTGCTGCCTGCTGCTAACGGGCATTTAAACAGTGATGAAGAGTCCCTGATCGCTCCTCACTGCAAAAAGTGACCACAGTGATCACTCTTTTATTTTATTCTATTATTATTGTTATTTAAAGAAACGTGGACAAATGTGAAGTAGGCGTTAATATGTGTGCTTGTTTTTGATCAAATATAACGTCGGGGATTTTCTGGAATGTACAGGGACTGAAACAAAGCATGGTGAAGGCAGGTCCTGTCGCTGGTTTCCAGGAAATAACACACGCTGCATAGAAGTAAGCTTTCCGCGATTCTCTGGATGAAATTTCGTACAATTAAATTAAAGAAAATAGCATTTAAAACCTCAAAACTGCATTAAAATAAATGTACCCGACAAATATTTCCTGCAGGGTGCAGCGCAGAGAGGTGGTCAAACTTCAGTTTTTATCGACTGTTCCCTTAACGTTACATGTAGACTTTACTGTCTACTTCTCACAGTCTTTAACCTTTGGGGTGTGTTCCGATTCTATTGAGATATGGTAATTGCAAGCTTCCGGGGGCCAACTGCTGCTGGGTCACTCTCTGAGCACCGCTGGCGTCACTGTTCCGCTGCTGGAGCTGCTGCGTTCAGGGTTCAGCCTTCACAAGTTATTATCTTAAAGTGTTTGATAAAGGGGAACGGACCCTGTTTAGAATCCTTCCAGAAAAGTTCCTATATGAGCTTTGTTTAAAGATTGAAAATCACTCTAAAGTGTGAATTTACCCTTTAAACCAGCTGGCATTTAACTCGACTCAGACATGGTCACATGGACATGTTGCAGTGTGCTGCTGCTGGTGACGTTGAATGGACCTACTGCTAATTTTCAGGATTTTTATTTATTTATTTATTTGTATTAAGCTTCAATTACTTACTTCCGGTATAAGAAAACGTGCATTTCTGATATTGGTCATGGTGGTGAGCTGGAGGCACCTGCAGCTTTACTTTGGGTGACTTTGGGTTCTTTCAAACTTTGATAGGTCGTCAATTTGATCAGAATAGCACATCCCCTAGTTTTCATCATTTATTTTATTTCTTATTTTAGTTGTATGTAAACAGGATCATTTCAGAATATTCTTGTTGTTGAATGAAGTGAAAGACGTTCTTATCTAATACGAATTGTATTTTTATAGAGTGAATATCACTTCTTTCAACGGAAAGCACCCATTTCAATTTCTTTCTTACTAACTTAAAAGTGTTGCACATTTTCTTGAAGAATGAGGCATGTTGTGAAGTTGAATCGTAGTTTCAAGAAACATTCTAGAAAAGTGTAACTACCCATGATGCAGTGGAAGTGCGGATGTGCCGTGTGTTTCACTATAATAAACTTTTATTACACAGAGTAATTTGAAGCATCTTTTCTGACCGAACATGAATAACGTGATGATGAGAGAGAGAGAGAGAGAGAGAGAGAGAGAGAGAGAGAGAGAGAGAGAGAGAGAGAGAGAGAGAGAGAGAGAGAGAGAGAGAGAGGTATCGAAGAAGTCTGCCCAGTAACAATCGCGCAGCCTCGCTCGAGAGCTGAGGAACTATTGGCTATGCAAATAGACACACAGGGAGGAGGAAGCAACTTAGGCTGGGAAAAAAACTTTAAAGAGACATTTCCCCCACTTTTCTCACAAGCATTGCTATATAGTCAAGCAGCCTGGGATGGAAATGACCAGCTCTGAGGACTTTCAGTCCCCAGCATTGCCCTGATGCTCTGCAGTCTCGTTTCATTCAAGCCTCAGTCTTTGAAGTTGACTAAGAATAGGAGGGGGGATTAACATATTTACCCATGCAGATTCTCTTTGTGACTGTTTGTGAGGCTAAATCATTTGGCAGTCATTTTTTTAATTATCTGCTTACTCTCTCAGCTCCGTTTCCACCTGCTTGTGTTCCCATGTAAATTATTACAAAAGCCTAAACAAATAAATACAAAATCATGGAAAATAGCAAAAACTGGTTGGTAGTTGGCTTGAGCCAAAGACAGTGACTGTCATCGTTGTGTTATCTTTAACAGAAGATCGTGCTAGAAAAAAACATGTCAACGCTGCTTCACATTTCCTAGAAAGCTATCTCATAAACCACAAGCAGTTTGTGGCTGCAATGAATTGAATGGTTCGTAAGACCATGTGTGTGTATGTGTGTGCGAATGCGTGTGTGAGAATGGGTGGGAGGGTGTTGGTCTGTTTTGTGCACGCGCACGGGCACGCACATGCATTGCTGTAAGTTAGCATGCAGTGTTGATAGGCATGCATGCAGTATACATGCGTCGTGCTCTTGTGTTCACTGAGTCTGTTTGAAAGAGCTGAACACTAATTAGTTGCTTTTTCCCCAATTTCAAACGTATTTAAACTAATATTTCGAATATATTGAAAGTAGCCTATTCAATAAAGTTGTTTTTTAAGGCATTCTGTTGAAAAAGTGCAAAATATTGCAACAATGTATGTGTTAGCCTGTTACACTGCACTCCAATATGTAATCATAATCACAAGGCAACACAAAACATAAGAAACAATAAAGGTAAAATGTCCCCTGGTAATACCATGTTCTAATTTAAATCCATTAAACACTTACTCAAATACATCCACAAGAATGTGTTTATTTTAGCCTAAGAAAGTCTCTAAATGTGAATAAATCTGGTTAAAGTTTCACTTAAATTGATTTATTTTGCATATTCCTCTGTATTGTTGTTTTGTTGTGTCAGCATTATAAATGTTAACATTCAAACACGCATGCTGAAAGTTGTCGTGTGCGGCAGAGTGAAAGAAAGGGACAGGAGAGCATGTCGCTTCTGGTCTATACAGAGGTAATGAAGTGAATTGCGTCAGTGGCGCATGTAGGGCTGGCTTGAAATGATCTGGGCAGGCGGATGAAAGTAGAGGCGCACTGTGGGGAGAGAGGAAAAAGTTCTCAACAAGGAGAGGCAGGACTACTCTTACGGAGCCCCTGCAGTCTCACTTTTTATGCCTCTAAAACACTTTCCCAGCCATCCTTTTGCATTTTTACCCCGCACCGTCGCTTTTACGTTTCCCTGAGAGAAATACAACCTTTTTTTTTTTTTTTTACTTAAGTGAAAGCACCAGCAGCACCATGGAGCTGCTCTGCCTCGAAATGGACACCATCATACGAGCTCGTCCCGATCCAAACCTCCTGTGCGATGACAGAATCCTGCAGAACTTGTTGACCATAGAGGAGAGGTTTCTACCCCAATATTCCTATTTCAAAGGCGTCCAGAAAGATATCCAGCCGTTTATGAGGAGGATGGTCGCTACTTGGATGTTAGAGGTATACCGAAACACCGAGTGCTGACAAGTCTTATTATTTCCGTGCTCGACTTTAAAGCCTCCTGATTTGCTCCGTTGCTGTTTTACTGTGCGCTCTTTGCAATTTTGTGGACAGAATATAGGACTTCTAGGTCTCATTTCCGAATGCTTATTCCTCATATTAGCCGAATGTGTCGCTTTCTGTTAATTCTTGCCATTTTTTAAAGTATGGTCGCGAAGACATGAAACTTGGAGCTTTGATCTCCGTGCCTCCGGAGACTCTCTTTCATAAGATTCGCATGTTTTCTGTACGAGCAGCCTGTTGATTCTTTATTGTTATTATTTTAGATTGCCTGAATATTTCCATGCACACGTATGCACTCCCCAATGCAATGCTGCCCTGTGCTGTTCTATCGCCATGTTGGTTTTTTACAGGAGCGCTTGTGCTTTTAAGGGGACTTTACAGTGTCATAAACGCAATAACAGCGGGTAAAAGCCATCGGCAATGACAGAGGAGGGTCTTTTGTGTCCACTGAATATAGTCAGGATGTATAAAAGCGTTGCAAACATTTTATGTATCTATTTTAAATGTCGGAAGGGACGCGGGCCTTATCTGTCCTTTTGGTCTTCCCCCCGTCGCTATGCCTCTCTCTGGAATTATGTTCGATTTATGGCACTAGGTTCAATATTTCTGGTCATCACCCGCCTTGATCAAACTGGAGACTCTGAGCTTTATTTACATGTAATTTTTGTCCCGATCAGACCTACTGAATATTTTTTATTAATTTTTGAAATAAATATATCGGGTCGCCGGTGACGCACATCAGACCGACATCATGCTACTTGGCTTTTGATTTGACGTTTTATTCCTATTTATCGCGCAGAGATTTGGATAGGAATCGTCGGATCTGATACAGAAGACCCACATTAAGATTATGATGCGAAGAAACCCGGTTGAGATAATTTATTTATATTTTTAATTATTTTATGAAAATATGGCGAATGAAAGAAAGAGCGTTTCCGTGTGCTGCGCGGTCGGGGTGTTTTTTGGCTCGGGCTGATTGTGACTTGAATTCGTTTCTTAGTGAATGAACTGCAGGAATGTGACTCTTTTGACAGTATATGTCTGAGACCCATTTCATTCTTTATAAAATAATATATTTCGAATTAATTCGTGATGTCGCAACCGATTAGGGCTGGGCGCAGATTCTTGGCCGGGCCCCAACTATGTGTGTCATTGAATTTATATGTGCTCTTTATGTGATTTCACTTTTGTTTCGTTTTCTCATAAAAGTTGAATATAGCCTACATTTCAAGTGCTGGAAAATAAGTCAGTTCTGTGCATGGGTGGCTTACTGATTCCAAATGCTGAACATTGTTGCATTGTCTGCTGTGTCTTTATCCAGGTTTGTGAGGAGCAGAAGTGCGAGGAAGAAGTTTTCCCCTTGGCCATGAACTACTTAGACAGATTTTTAGCCGTGGTACCCACCAAAAAGTGTAACCTGCAGCTGCTGGGAGCAGTGTGCATGTTTCTTGCATCCAAATTGAAAGAGACTCGTCCATTAACCGCAGAGAAGCTTTGCATCTACACAGATAACTCCATCAGACCACAGGAGCTGCTGGTAAGCAACAGTTGGTTCAACATATATTCACTGAATTCACCTTTGATGATTCATGCTATCATCATCAGCTGCTAAAGCTTTTGTGATAAACGTTGTGTTTCTGTATCATGTTTATTTTTGGGAAGAAAGTTTATTTCATTAGTTTAAAGGTATTAAATCACTCACAATATGTTCAAATTCCTCATCCAGCACATTACATCAGATATGGTCATTACTCTCCTTCTGCTGTCCAGTCTCCACTTTGGTCTGCGCCTTCATGAAAAGCGAAAGTCTCTCAGTAAAGTCTCCCACAATGGCTCTCTTTACTGTACAAGACCCTCTGGCTTTACAGTATCCTTCCAGCCTGTGCAATGGTCTCTATCGCCATCTGGTGGCAGATATTTGCACAGAGCAACGAGGTCAGCTTGAACCCCAGCCAAAGTTCTGACTCTGTTCCTGTCAGTGAGAGAGAGGGAGAGACACAGAGAAAGTCAAGTTTGCCTTTTACAGTTTAGCTTTCATCCAAAAATAACCCTGGATGCACACATTGCTGGTATTATGTCATGCGTCTATTTTTGATTCACACACATTTTCCAACGCTGAAATATAGCACAACAATGATGCAGGGTGTGTTATGTGGAGGGTTTTAAAAATGTCATTCCTCAGTGCGGTATATTTGATAAGGCCTCTATGCCTGATAATACCAGCTGCCTTCACCAGTGCAACCCAATTAATGAACTCAGTTTCGAATCAGATAAGTGTTTCCCCACGGCTCTGTGGTGCTACATAAACATTCCTCGGTAAACAACAGCCATCCCACCCATGTTGTGAAAGAGGCCACATATTCTGATTCAGACGTGGCTGATGTAGCCCTGCCTCACTGCCTGACTCTCCTGCAGAATACTCAACTTTGTGAGGTGCTGCTGTTGGTTGATTTCTGATCATTTCATTGAGTGTATGCTGGGATTGCAATGCTAAGCGTATTAGTTTTAGTCCTATAAAGCAGAATGTCATACTGCGCTTTACAAGAAGACGTCCTACCTTTATGTTCATTGTGAAGACAAAGCCTTCAGTCCTTGAACTGGTTTGCTGGGGCCTCTTCTCAGTGTTTCTGTATATGGCAGTATTTTGGCTGACATGCAGATACAGGAAACAGAGATCAGCTGCTCGGGGCATGTGATCGTTTTTTGTACTCGTCTTTAGTAAGAATTTCTTGTAAAGAGAACCGCAATGTTACAGAAGTTATGACCAGAGGAAGGCAGTAGAAGAAGGAAGTGGTGCCCGCCTGCCTGCCACTCTGTCAGCATAGAGCCTGTGTTGCAAGCCTTTGCTGTATATAGGCTTGAATCTTTCTTGCTGGCACTGGAAATGGCTTTTTAGAGAGCAGGGAGGCGGCCATGTTGCAAACATTACCAAACACAATCAACACACCACTGCTGGGCCTTATGATTTTTATATGATCAAATAATTGAATCTGTGAGATAGCGGTGACACACCTCCAAGTAAACAGAGGAAGACACCTTTAACCTTTTAGTCAGGAGTGCTTTTATTTTCTCATCCTCCCACATGCTGTTGCTAGGAATTAAATCCCTGTGTATAAAAATAAAGGTTTTCCCCTCCCCCTCTTTAAAGGTCCCTGGCATCAAAGAGATCAGAAAACATAATAAGGCTGAAAAGGTCCCTGATTAGAACATTTCAGCTGGTCAGTGGCAGCCATGTTGAATTGTCTCGCGACTGAGTCCATGTGGTCTCTCTCTCTCTCTCTCTCTCTCTCTCTCTCTCTCTCTCTCTCTCTCTCTCTCTCTCTCTCTCTCTGCACGTGTGTCACTAAGAAGCAAAAGGAAGAGGTCACAAGGCTGCAGTGCAGTCCGGAACCAAACCACCACATTTTTCCCAAATTAGTCACCAACTCTTTCGTTAATCACCTCCTCCCCTAGGAAGTGAAAGTAACAATACTTTCGTAGAGAGCGCCACACCTAGACCACCCCCTCCACACACACTCACAGAGACACCCATTTCACAAACACTCATCTAGTTTAGTATGTGTCATCAAATGTTGCCAAAAGATCCAAATGATGTATGCATGTACAGAGAAGTTTAAGTTGTCTAAAGATGCCAAAGGTTAATGTTTCCTGTTCATCTTTAACGTTATCTGGCATTTATGAAGACTAAAATTAAGAACAATAGGCGCTTAAATGGTTCATTGTTGTTAAGTCTGAAGGCCTTCGCAGAAAACCCAAAATAGTTACATTATTTTATTACTGTTGCAAGACTTTTGATGCTTTTAAATGATGAATGGAATGCAATAAGATAAAATAATCAACCACTTTTTAATACATAACACAGAGTCATTGCTGGTCCATTGCTGGTCTGTTATCACACACACACACACACACACACACACACACACACACACACACACACACACACACACACACACACACACACACACACACACACACACACACACAGACACAATGAGTTAAACCTCCGGTGGGCCTCTTTAGGAAAGTCCCCAGATGCCAGACAGACAGACGGGGGGAGACAGTGTGTGAGGTCACCTGCTTGGTGGCGCTGCTGGTGCTTCTCTGTCCCAGGCCCGGCCAAGCAGAGACTAACATAATAACAATAATGCTTAACCTCAACGCATGCTAATGTTCGGGGCCAGGGGCCCACAGAGGCACGCTCACTGGAGGGAAACTAGCTGTGGCTACAGTATGTAAATGTATGGTTGTACTTTGTGTCACTTAATCTTCTCAGTCTTTCTCATTTTCGGTTATCTCTCTCGGCTCTCTTCTCTTCAGGAGTGGGAACTGGTGGTGTTGGGGAAGTTGAAGTGGAACTTGGCAGCAGTAACGCCGAACGACTTCATCGAGCACATTGTGAGGAGGCTGCCGCTGCCCGAGGATAAGCTGGCACTTATACGCAAACATGTCCAGACCTTCATCGCCCTATGTGCCACAGGTAGGACACCATGACAGCTTACCAGGAACATGTTATATGTCCTTTTTTCAATTGTGATTTTAAGTTGCGAAAAACTGATCCAAAAGATGTGCGACGTCATCTCGATATCATTTGGTTTTGACACTGATCATGGATAAGCTGCCAAGTCAAACCAAGTGATAATGGCTTGCATTGACATACTTTCTCGTGTTGCAAAACATCTTTATCTGCACATTCTTCTTTCAGCGCTGTATTAAAGCCCTCTTCTCTGAATACCGTGAGGCAACAGCCGTGTTCTGAGGTGTGCTCTGGGCTAGTCCCAGCCCGCAGTAACTGAAGTATTACCTGGGATGGGAAAATATTCTTCCTGAGAAAGGCATGTGTCATGGAAGGCATTTAAGCGTTAGACTCTTAGGGCTGACGTCCATCATTTGTCTTCTCTCAGACCGGTATGTGGTCATGCTTTAGAGGCATATCAGTGGCTTCCAGAGCATCCAGTAACACTTCAAAGCACATTCATCCTGGATGAGGGGCATTCCCATGTCGCACAGGGTCGAGAAGAGGAATGGACAGGGGTGGAGGCAGGCCGGCCATTGTCTTTCTGCTCTTGAGGTGAATTGTTGTCTTAAGATCAAACATCCCGCGAGTGGTGACAGGCAGCCTTTAACATGATCTGGAGGGACGGAGAAGATGCAGGAGGGAACAGGAGAGTCAGGGAAAGCCGGAGGAGTGTATTGTTTTTGCGTTGCCAATTCTAAGGCATGTCATGTTTTCATATCTCTTTCCCCTGCTGCCTTCCTTCCCTCTTCCCCCCCNCCCCCTTACTTCTCACGCCTCCCCGCCCTACAGCTGGAGGACATGATAGCTTTCCCATGTTGAGATTCTCTATGGGGCAGGTTTCTCCTGTTTGCGGCACCTCACCTCTCATTCAAAACTGAAAAGATGTGCAGAGATAAAAAAAAACTTGTCTAAAACAACCTTATTTATCTTAACACTGCTGAGAAAATAACACAATGCAACCACAAAAAAAGGCTGTCGTTTGTTTCTCATTCTCTGGGTGACCACCACCAGCAGCAGCTTCCTTTTCTACAGGAGTGCTTACTACACCCCCCATGGGAAACTGCTCCTTGTGCTGGCATCATTCAGAGGAGTGTGTGTAGTTAGATGAATAGATACAAGGGAGGTGACAGGTATTTACATCATAAAGCGATGGAATCCTGTGCGCCGATTGTGCAATGGATATGATAGGGTGAGACAAATTTGCAACAAAAGTTCATGTTTGCAACTTTTTTTTGGAAAAAACGCCTGTTTCCTCTATTTCTCTGCGTCATCTTTTCCTTAACTCTCTCCTGCTATCTCTCCCTGCCTCACCCCAAATACCTCATCCCTTATTTTCTGCCAGCAGGTTGATGTGTGGAATGACAGCGCGTCAGTGATCGAACCTTTTTCCAATGCAACATTGTGAAAGTCTCAGTATGCACTTTGTCCTTAATTGCTTCAATGAGGCAGTGGAAATACATTTACGAGCCTCCTGGAGTCCTCCTGACATTGTGTTTTAGGAGAGAGACTATTTGGAGATAGCCCTGGATTAGCAACAGAGCGTTTATCTGTGTATATGCTCTCCTCAGACTTGTATCCAGGCAAACAGAGTGAGAAAGAGAGAGCGCACGTGAGTCAACAATTTGGTGCATCTACAGATCTCTGGGAATTCGAAAACCCCATTCGGGGAACGTTCCCAGACGTAAATCTCTGGGTTATCTGGTGGGAATCCTCCTCGAGACGTCGTCTGAGCGGGGCTGAGGAGGTGGAGACGCAGCAGAAGGAGGCCACGTCTCAGGAGGATTTACATTTGCAAGGCAGTTGACAACGAGTCACCTGTGGCCTTCCTATTTCATGCAGCCTCATTCAGCCCGGCACTACTACCACCGCCGCTGCCCCTACACTGGAAAAGAAAACATGCATGAAACCACGGCTCTCTGTTTTGAAGGGAACAAGAGAGAGAAGAGGAGAAGTGGAGAATAAGGCCTCTCATTCCTAATGGCTCCTCTCTTGTGATGAAACAGTTCCGTTCGGGCCACTCGGTGGGATTTTGTCAGGTGGCGCAGGCTGGCTCTGTATTAATTAATAACATTGGCTGGTCCATTCAGGACTATGCAAATGGCTGGGGAGCTCAGCTAGAGGCTGGGAGAAAGGAGACAAAAGGCTTGGCCCTTACATTTCATATGCAGAGCCATGTGAGGGTCAGCGCTGCGGGGCCACTTGATAGGAAACACCAGTTTTTCCCTCAGGCAGGCTGCCGGATAATAGCCCAGAAACAAGCTCATTATGGGAGATTATGAACCTCCATTCCTACACACAGACACCAAGCACTCCCAGCTTCCTCTTCTATTCTTATTCAATTGAGGTAAAGTGGGAGAATGGACGGGGTGCATGGGGCAGACAGATGCACCCCAACCTGTCTGCTGCGGTCATTGAGCTCCATCTTCTTGCCATATTGGGAGGGATTATGCTCTATTTTTTTTATAGCGACTCCAATAGCCCTCTCTGTAATGGTATGCATGGAATGGTGACAATGGTCATACAAGTTGATCAAAAGACATTTCTGGATCAGCGCCAACAGTGCTGTCCAAGAGAGAGTCAATTGTCCTGAAGGACACAATGAAGATTTTGCTACAACTTGGGATATAAATAACAAGAGATTGAAGTATTGGCTTAAAACAATATTTTATTCTTCTTTATCTGTGGCACTGTTTTTGGACTGTGTGAAGTAACTTGATGATTAACTGGTTAGTTTCTCTGAGACTAATGATTCACTAGCTGACAAACATGAGAGAAGTCCAGTGTTCTCTGCATGGGTTCACTTTTTACCTTTCCAGTTGTGATAAAGCCAGGCTTATTTTTATATTTACAAAAGGAGTGTGCGGAGTATATAAATCCTACACTTTGCATGCACCCTACTCACACAGTTTTATACCAGCACACTGCAGACGTTTGTTAAACTGCTTCAAACATAAAGAAAGTTGGAAAACATGCTTACAGACTGTATTTCACATTTTTATATATGAAATTATGCCAAAAGAACCAGTCAAACTACACGAAGCTGTAATTAGAGCCTAACCGATTTAACATTTTCTGTGTCCTACACGGTTTTCCAAGCTACGTGCCTCAAATCCATGAGGCTATTTGTCTATACAGGAAGCGGCAAACCTGCCAATTCGTACGCAACATTGACCAGTCTAATATTACGAGATGATTCATGAGTTCTCTTTTCATCTAAGCTGTTAAACCGCATCGGTCCGGAGGCAGGAATGCTCCTCGGAAGCGTCCTCTCCGAGTGGCTGCTTCTCTCGGAGAATCCCCTCCAGGCTCATCTCCGCATTCCGGCGACAAAAGATTTATCTCAGATGTGGTCAATGAAATGGTATTTACTGGTGTTTGTTTACATAAAACCCCCCTTCATGTTTGATGACTCAGAACCCTAACAAATTAGAGACCTCCTCCGACAAATTATCCACATGCTCCACTGATGTGAGGAATCACGTCCGGTCGGCCGCACCGTCGACACATGGAGCTTCCTGACAGTGAACCACACAGTGAATCATGGATTGGCATGTCCTGATTCCCCCCCCCCTCACCTCGCTGGTGTAATCAGCACCACACTGTAAATACTGTGGCGAGCTGAGTCACACCAGACTCACAAATGATGAGATTTTTGCTTTGAAGGGCTTCAATTACCCGACCAAAAAAGGTTTTGAAATGAAAATGTTCTTGAGCTTACTTGTTTACCTTGGAGGTCACGTTGACCGCAAAGACTAATATTTGTGATTTGACCTAAAGTAAATGTTAGTTAGCTAGTTTGACCTGGACTTTTTCAGTGTCTTTCTCCAAATTGTTTTGCTGAATGCAGGGTTTAATTACCTCAGATAAGCTCTTTATTCTTTCCAAATCGTCTCAGCCACAGAGATAAACAGATTTTGGAATATTTCACCCTTGATCCGAATCTGTACGCTCCCCGGCGCTGACGTTACCAACGCCTCAAGGCCGCAGCTGTGACAGTGCAGATGATGGTGCAAGGCTGAAGAGAGCTGTCACGGGATGCTGCAATTAAAAAAGAATTCTGTTTTCTGGCAAATGTTTTCAAATCGCAGTTTAAGAAGGGTGCGTGACTCAAACTCTCCCAAGTTCTGTTTTGTGTTCGTCTCCAGAGTGACAGTCTGAACAAGATTTCATGGAATGTCACAGGGAGCAGTATCAAGTTATTGTTTCTTAATCTGTGATTTCTCACTGTGTTGCATATGAAAGGACTCCTAAAGCCCAGTTGGGAAGTTGTTGTTGTTTGTGTGTCTCAAAGAGCTCTGCTGGTGAACCGTCTGAGCAGCTCTCCACAGACCTTGTTTTGACTACCGGGCTGTGTTCCGTTAGCGGTGAAACATACTCTCATGCCAATCCCCAAAATGATGTTTGTTGTTGGCCTTAATCCATCAACAGGCCGCGGGACCTCGTAATGCTACTCCTTTAATAAACAAGGTCAATAAGCGCTACATGTATTGAATACAAGACCCTGATTTATAGCGGTGGAAAGAGAGGAGAGGGTGCGAAGGAGAACTTTTTTTTCGTCTTCTTCTGGCTGTTGTTCAACTTTCCAAACTTTAATTAATTTACAAGTTTAATGTGAATACTGTGCAATCACAGCCACCCAAGAGGAATGGGCCATGTAGGGCAGCAGACTGTGTGACCAGAGGCCTGAGGGATGGAGTATCAGGGGCCAGGAGCACGGAGGAATGGAGATGAGGGGGCACGGGGAGGAGAAAGGGCCATTGAAGGGGGTGAGAGGCGCGCAGGCCAGGCCAGCCAGCCGCTGCTCACAGGGAGCTTTCCATCGCAGGCGTCCCCACTCAGCTACATACACTGTTTATCCTCAACATGAATATCAATGAGGGCCTCCTAAAATACGGCCATTCTTCCCCCCACATGCAGCAGCCACCAGGCCGGAGTGTCAGCCTGCGTCGGCTGCACGCGCGTGTCCTTGTTCTGCCACAGACCTGTCTTGTCTTGAGTGCGAAAAATCAGCTTGCTGCCCACTGTCCGCCACTCAGCTCTCCCACAAACCTACTTCTGTGCTGTGTGTGTGTGTGTGTGTCTGCATCTTAAAACATGCAGGCATCAGTGCATTGTTTATTGCCCGTGTCTCTTAGGTGTCCGCCTCCTTGCCTGTCAGTCTGCCCTCACTACACACGTACAGTAAATCCGTGTATGCCTTTGTCCTTTTAGCCCTCTATAGAAAGTGGTGCTCTTACAGCAGTGATGTAATGCTGAGGGGCTTTGTGTGCTCTTTCCTCTTGGCTCGAGGTAGCCTTTAATAAATCGCCCCTTGGCAGAGGCCCAGCGGCTAACACAGGGGTGTATAATAAGTTCATTTATTTGTCAACACTGAGCCCACAAGATGAGAAAGCGCCTGGCTGTGCATGTTAAAAAGGCAGTGAGGGGCTGCCTTTACAGCTATCAAAGGGCCCACCTCTTTGATTCCACATTTCAAAAAAAAAGAAGGAAGAAGAAAAATCTCCTTCATGGCCATCACACGCAGTTTGCTTTGCAATTGAATATGGCAATATGTTAATGTGCAGGCTGTTTCCTTGCCCCCACTGCCCACTTCTCTAGCCCATAGGTGGCCCGGAACAGAGGAATACTTGTGGGGGGGGTAGATGGGAGGCGGGAGGTGAGGGTCGCTGGAGGGCGACTCCTTTCTTCTTCCAAACCCTCACAGGAGTCTGGACACAGACTTGAGAGTGATGTGCAGCGGAGTTGTCGACCCCCTCTCCTCTCCCACCAAGCCCACCAACATCCCCTCTTTTCTCCTCGTTGCCCTGTCGCCAGTCCGTCCATCCCTCCTTCTTCATCTTCCTCCCCCCGTCGACTCCCTATCCTCCCCCCCCACCCTGTCCGGCCACGCTCTTTGTCCGGCCTGTCTCTCTGAATTGGTATCAGCAGAGAGGGGATAGATGCTGTTTCGCTCAATTGGGTGAAATTAGGTGATGACTCGGGACAATGGAGTCACACTCTCCTGCCTTCCCTCTCGCTGGCCCGCCACTCTATTAATATGCTAAAAGATAGGAGGGCTGCCAATGCAAACCGCTGCCTGTTGTAGCAACAAAGACTGAGGCATGTGTGCCATTCACTGGCCACATCTAAGCAGGCCATGTGTTGTCAAGGAAGAAAGGTAGAAGTTGAGCAAGACATAAAGAGAGAATAGAGTGTGTGTGTGTGTGTGTGTGTGTGTGTGTGTGTGTGTGTGTGTGTGTGTGTGTGTGTGTGTGTGTGTGTGTGTGTGTGTCTTGTGAAGAGTAAAACTCTCTCTCTCTCCCTGTATGCCAGTTGCCTTGCCTTTTCGGGCTTCTGGCCCGTTCACAAGCTGTCTCATTTGCATTACGAATGACAGTGAGGGGAGCTAACAAGGTTATTGGTCTTTGAGACGCACGCCTGTGACCACACGTGGAAAAAGGACCTACAGCAGTGAGCATTGGCAGAGGCACTGAGCCTCTTTATTCCTCCCTTTCCAAGTGCTATGGGGCTTTTTTCAGAGAGCACACGATTTACTCAGGAGATGGAAGAAAAGGGGCCAGGCTGGGGAAAGGGGGATTGGGGTGGTGAGCGGGTGAGGGTGGTTGCTTTTCAGCTCCTTTACAAGCCAAGTGAACCCTCATTATCCAGGCCCCTGGTCATTAGCGAGCGCTGCGTTCAGGCCCGCTACAGTAGAAGGATTATTTATTAGCTGACTGCTAGATTACCGAATCATATTGTCTGTACCCTTTTTGTGGAGCATATGGATTGAAAAGTGACATTTAGAAACTGCACCAGGTGAATCCAGAATCCAGTGTAAATCATCTCATTTAACCACGGATCGGAAGATTTTAGTTCCGTGCTTACCATAACAATATCATTTACAAATAGCACTGGAAACTCACTTGGTATTTCTTTCTCTAACAGATTTCCGATTCGCCATGTACCCCCCCTCCATGATTGCAACAGGAAGTGTGGGGGCAGCGATCTGCGGCCTGCAGCTGGATTCAGCTGACCAGTCACAGTGGGGCGACAGTCTGACAGACCTGCTGGCTAAAATCACAAACACAGAAGTGGTGAGTTTGGACAAGACACATATATTTTTCCTAAGAAAAGAACTTTATAAAACTCTTATTAGTCAGGGTTAACACATTAATTCCTGTGTCTGGAAATTGTTTGGGTGGATGTTTCTGAGTAATATCTGAATGAGTAAATGTTAGTTTGTCGGCCAAGTGAGGTGGTCATCGGTATTTATCTTACTACATTATCACAGTAACTGTGTGATTCAAAGCTGAATCCAGCTGCTTTTCTGTCTAATCTGCCAGTGAACATCTCTGGTAAGATTCCACAATTTGTGTTTCAAATGAAACACACAGTTTTACAATCTGTCTTGTTCTACTAGACTCTCTGAGGAAAGATATCCCTATTTTTTTATGTCAAAGGTTAAGAAATGCCACATGTTGGTAGAACTTTGCAACAGAGAGAAGTTGAAATGTTGAAATGTTACACTCAGATTTTGACTTCTTCCCTTGGATTACGCTTTCCACAAACCCTTATTTGGGAGAGTGGGGGACAGCGGCCAATATTTCTCATGAAATTACCAAAAAGACGGCACCAAACTGAGATCATAGGAAGAAATCCTGAACTGCATCATTTTATTTGCAGTCTCTTCTGTCATACACTTGACCAGAGAGGTCTCATGAGGCAGGTTTCTCCTCCTCTCCATCAGTCCCCCCCTCATATAAAGACTCCTGTAGATCGAGCCAGGTTGAGAGCATATACAGTGTGCTCGGCGGCTGACAGGAATGCTGGCCAGGCTGCTGTGTGGCTGTCTGGGTACAGCGAATGTTGCGGTGGTGGGTGAGTTGAGTCCAAACACAGGCAGGGCCTCTTCTGACTCTGAGATGCCTGGCTTTCATCACGCGGATGGGAGAGGGCTTCAGCTCGCTATAGCTTACTGTAAGGGAGCTTGTGAGGTGATCGCTCTTTATTAGTCTCTTTGGAGAAATTACTCTTCTGCATTGGAACGATCCTAAGTATTCAGGAGCAGGGGGCAGGGAGCTGCTGCAGTTCTGAGGCCTTGGCAAGAGGGTTCCTAATACCAAACATGATGAAAAGGGCTTTTAGTTATTTAAACATGAGTGTTCATGTGTGCTCGGTGCAGAGGGGGCAGATCAAAGGGCGTGACACGGATCCCAGGCCTCAGCCCTGGTATGTTAAATTCTGTCCCAAAAGGAGGCGAAGTAGGAGGAGGAGGAGGTGGAAGGAAGCTGTTGAAATGTGAAAAGGACACTGGGTGGGGGGGGTGCGGGAATCACGCCTCCCTCGCGACAATCAACCCTCTCTCGTTGCCTCCTATGGTCCATGTTGCAGCACTGCAGGAAAGCATGGCTCCCTCTGGTGCGAGCTGTGTGAAGTCTCGCTCAGCAGCTGAGGAAAAACAAATAGCTGACCTCAGCAGCATAGGGCCTCAGTGTGTTTAGGCTGCAAGGTCTCAGACTTGAGGGAATTAAGTCGCTCTCTGTCTCTATGATCAACTCCTCACATTCCTGGATTCAGACAAGCCATGGCTCGCAGTAAACACACGAGGCAAGGCAGAGGGCGCCCTTCCTAATTCAACATATATGAGAGGCTTTAGTGTAAACTGCTGAAAAGCCAGCCAAAGCTAAACAGATGCTTACTAACTTACTTAAGACTTGTGCCCCACTTCTTCTACAACTAAAAAACGAAATGACAGAAGTGTCATAGGTGTCTTCAGTGCTATTAACGCTGTTTATGCTTTAACAACAAAAGAGGAAATGGTGAGTGTTAAGACTGTGTCAATGTGTCATGTTCACACTTACCCTACCTTCTTTTAACAAAAGCTGTACCCCTTAATACGTCAATTCAATACCCAAGGGTCACCTCAACCTGAATTTGGACCGCAGTCATCCGGGTGGTGGGGTGAACCTGAGTCTAAATGTGTACACACACTGTGTTTTCTGCGTCTCGTAGCCAACGGCCAAAGAGCCAGGCAAAATATGAAGGCAAAGCAAGTTTCTTCAGCCTGCCAACAGCATCATGGCCACCCTCCGCCCCCACCCCCGCCCCCTGCTGGCATCTGTGGTATCCAGAAACTGTGGTTTTCCAGTGGAAATGAGATAGGGCCAAGTCACCGTCTTGGCCAGCTGGAAGAATTTGTGTAGCCTCACACACACCTGGTGTGACCGAGAGGAGCGGCCTGTTAGGGACTAATGTGAGGAGAGAACATGTGCATTTTAGTGAGAACGTTTCTGGTTTAAAGCAAGATCAGTTGTGACTCCTTCAAACTGCACATGTCATCTGAAATATGAGAAGTATACGTTACAACACAGCATTTAGTTAGTACATGGAGACCAAGTGTGTAGAGCCTCCCTTTATTCGTGAATGATAACACAGGAAGTAGAGGTTAAAGGAGTGCAAGGGTTAAAGACCACCACTTCCTAGATGTGATCGTTTTGAGTCGATTTCTCAGTCTCTCATTCATCTTTTCTTTTCCGGTCAGGGTCACACACTTAGACAACGGAAACACATTTCCCCGTTTCTCCCTCTCTTCCTGTTTTCATTCCTCTTTTTTAATCACTCTGGTTTGCAATGTGGCCCATTATCACAGATGTTCTCATACAAGCAGCAGGATGGCTAGACTCAATTGAAATGTGATTTTTTCGGACGGAGGAATGTTGGGGCCAAAAACGCTTGCAACAAAGATGCATTTATTAAGAAAGATTATCTCTATTATTAACACATCCTGTGGCGTCACCACTTGTGGTGTTTCGGCATGCGGGCTAAAGAAAGTGAAAGGTCACATTTTCTATTGTAACTTGTGGAAATTCAAGTCATGCGGTGACTCCTTATTTCCAGTGTCAGCCTCCGGATATTTCGTTTTTAGGATTCCCCGAGATCTCCAGTGTGTTTGTTTCATCTGTCTGACCACCAAGTCCTCCCAGAGTAGCTAACGCTGTCTTTGTGGTACAGTCAGCAGTTAAATCACATTCCATGGCTTCACTTCATTTCTCCCTTTCTGGTTTTGTCTGTCTGCACGACTTCCCCCCTTCTGCCAGTGTCACAAAGGCCGCCCAGGGATAATGTGCATGCCTTGATTTGTCAGATTGTTGCAGTTTGATGTATGTTTAAGGTTCCGCCTGGGGAGGATCTGAGCTGATTATGTGTTTTCCGACCTGCAAAATAAGATGTTTCAGTATAGCGCTACCTCCCATGGCCAACTTATTCAGTGCTGTTGCCCCCCTCAGAATACAAGTACCTCAGGGCGTCTCTGAAAAAAAGTATTGGTGTTTCCAGTAGTCACACATTGAAGTCATTAAAGTTTCTCGAATGAAGCCCATGGGGCTTGGCATCGGTTCGCAACTGCCGCTAGAGTAGCGGAGACGGGGGGAGAATGTCTTTTAAGACGTGAAGGCGTGCATTCTTGCGGTAAGACACAGGCAGTTCCTTTACATGTTCTTCGCTTTACTTAATTTTCTCACAGGAATTGAGATTTTATGACCAATGGGGCAAATGTTGGTGGGAAGGCTGTGTGTGTGCGAGTGTGCACACGCCCATGTCAGCGGCAGACCTCTGGATGAGATTAAGGGACAGACGCTGGTCGGGTTTCCTCCACGTCAGGCCCATTGCCGAGGGAAACGTTCCCCAGAGGCACCCAGCCCAGACCAGTCCAACCTCCTCAACATCAAATCATTCCTTATGGACTGGAACCAAAACAAGAATCATTGGTAGAGGTACAAAAAAAAGAAAAAGGGAAGGAATAAAGAAAGGAATTACTTCATGCAAACTTCAAATATCAGCATAACCCAATCAATCCAAAAAATATTTGTATGTCAAAAAAGCATATGTAAAAGAGATTCTACTTCTTAAGAAATCCTCCCTAACATCGTCCACATGTACATAATTTCAACAAATCACCAGTCTAGAAAGTTCTGTTAAAAGTCAGAAAACTCATGTAGTTTCCTTTCAACAACACAGTACATGTCTCACCCTGCACTGTGTCATGCTGCTTGACCTTTGACACCGTGACCTTTCCCTCTCTCGCCCGTGAGCAGCTACCAATCCTGATGTGAGTGGCTTCAGTTCTCATTTCTTCAAGGCCCAGCGGCACCAGGAGCTGGAACACAGGCTCAAACTGTGGCCCATCGGGTTTAAATTAGCTGTAAATTTCTGCTTCACCACTGCTACACTTTCTCCGATCCCTCCGGCCATGGGGCGCTCTCAGTCGGTTTCCCACAGACCCCGGGTGCTAGAAGGCAGGGGGCTGTGTATGTGTGAGCGTGTGTGGAGCTAGTTGTGTTGTTGTGTTTCGCCACCAGAGTGCGGCCTTTATCAGGCAGCTTTCATATTAGTTTCTTGTTTTGGAAGTGTAGTTCCTCACTCAAAAACAGTTTGACCTCCCTTTGACGCTCCTGCTACCAACCCATTTAGCACCTCTCTTCCCTTTACCCTCCCCCATGTCTCCCCCTCCCCAGTGAGTTGCTCTCCCCCCAAGTCCCCTCTGTCAACCCTCCATCAGGGAAGGATATGAGGGCTCAGCGCTGTTGAGAGGCTCCTCTCCCAGGTGGATTCTTAGATTGCGGCGGCGGCCTTTGAAGGTGAAAGGAGAGCCGGCCAGGTCTCAGAAGGATCCCTGCAGGCAGCCAGGCACACAGACTGGCTCTCGTTAAAAAAGCACCACCTTTGTGTTCCCACAGGAGGTGGATGTAATTAACATAGCTTTAGTACTACCTGTGTTTTCAACCGCCGTTGTCAAGGCTACTTCTGTTTGGGTTGTGTGTGTGTGTTTGGGAATGCTGCGATAGGTGAGTGTTTGGATGGGGGAGGCAGTGGTAAGCTTGCACGGGGGGCCTGAACATGTTAATGCACATGTGTGTGTGCACATGAGAACTATAGGGGAGGTGTTCAGTGCACCACCCTGGTGGGCTGATGTAATGCTTAGGTCTGCTCCGTGTCTGGGTTCAATCTTGGCTGTAGATGGAGCAGTTAGAAAAGTTGGTGGTCATTTAAAGGGGCCCTATTCTGCTAATGTTGAGGTTCATATTAGTATTTTGTG